GCTGGTGCGAGGACAATAATCTCAGCCTCAAGTGGAGATGGTGAGCAGTTTCAAATACCTGGGCATCCACATCAGTGAGGACCTCACTTGGACACGTAACAGCACACAGCTGGTTAAGAAGGCTGTACTTCCTGAGGAGGTTTGGCATGTCGCCTAGGATCCTCAGCAACTTCTACAGCTGCATCGTCAAGAGCATCTTGACCAGCTGCATCACTGGTATGGCAGAACAACTGCTATGGACTGCAAGCACCTGCAGAGTGGTAAAGACTGGGGAGAAGATCACCAGGACTCCACTGCCCTCTCTGCAAAGCATCTACTACCGCAGAGTCCACAGGAAAGCTGCTTCCATCCTCAAGGACCCCACCCACCCCCAGCATGGGCTGTTCACACCCCTACAGGCCGGAGATTCAGAAGTGTGAAATACGGGACTTCAAGACTAAAGGACTCTTTCTTTCCAGCTGCCATCAGATTCCTGAACATGTATAGGTGCACACCCACTGCTGACTATCGCACATACAGCTGTGATGTGGGTGTTTTCGTTACATTTTTCTATACTTGTTATTATATTTCTTTTCACTCGCTGCTTAAAGTGCCTTTAGACTTTGTGCTACTGTTTATCTACTTTATATTTGACTTGTGTGGTTTGGCATTCAGGGTGGACAGCAAAGTAAGAATTTCATTGTGCAGGGAAACACGTTTCCATACTGTGCATATGACAAAACACTTTGAATCTTGAATTACACTTCACTAACTGTGTGTCCTCTCTCTCCCTGTATCTTTCTGCAGGTTGCCCTGGTTCTGTAGTTCTATGTTTCTGATGAGCAGTCACCAGCCACATCAACCTGACCAGTGTTTGATTGTTTGCTGTGTCTTGTTGCTTTTCTTCTTCTCTCTCCTCTATCCACTCACCCAACCCGGTCTGCCCACCAAAAGCCAGGGTCTGTCGGAGGTTTCCTTCCATTAAAGGGAATTTTTGCTCCCTTTTGTTGCCAAGTGCTTGCTCAAGGGGGATTTGTTGGGTTTTTCCTTTATAATAACAATAATAATAGTAAGGTCTAGACTTTTTACTTTGTAAAACGTCCTGAGGTGACTTTTGTTGATTTGGCACTATACAAATAAATTTGAATTGAATTGAACACCCCACCAGAGCTGACATTGTCTAGTATTATGGGTCACAGTTGGATGATTTTTAAAGATGATTTTTTTTTTAACCATGAAGATAAAAATAAATTTGAAAACTTTGAAAACGCCACAGGAAAGGTATTATTTATGCCAAGACAAGTTTGTCCTACCTCCTGTGTAAAGGCTATGAGGTGAAATGGCAAGTTGGAGGTCTGCATGAGAAACAGAGGGAGATAGAGCTAGAGAGTGAATGAGGAGAGAGCACAATTAAAACATTGTTTTGTGACTGTTTCAGTGTGGTTACATTTTACAGCAGGATCACACACAGCCACATCTGTGCACAACCTCATGGGAAAAACTTTGTATGAATATAGCCAAAATGCACACTTCTCTCTGTTCTGCTTTGTGCACCTGTTGTGTGTGTCACCCTGCCTTCAGACACACAGACCTGAAATTGGATCTGGGTATTAGCTACAGAAATTCCAGATTTCCATTGATAAATATGTCAAACTAAATCAGATACTGTAACAGCCCATTTGTTTCATTTTCAAATTGCAACATGGACATAGTACATGGATCACCGGACATCATGAGCATCACACCTCTAATGTTAGTAGTCACAACATCGCCGTGCCAAGTCCTGGCTACCTGTGTCCTGCCATACACCACAATCTGCTGCTGTCTCACAACTATACAAAACAGGTTGTAACTTGAAACACACATAAACTAGTATAAAAAAATGTTTATTATTCCACACCAGATAAGATAAGACTGCTACTGTATTTCTCTTCACTGATTTGTCTGTTGAAGAGTTCAATCATTCAGTGAACTTAAGCTGAATTACACTACTACATGTGTCAGGTTTGCCCAGCTGCACCTGCCTCTCTTCCTTTCCTCACTCTAGTCTGCTTCCTTACACTGATTACACTATCCGACACACCTGCCCCGCTCCCCGGATTATCGCCAGCTGCTACTCATTAGTTTCCTCCCTACTTATACACTGCTCACCGTTCACTCCCTTGCTAGTTCAATCTCTGTCTTCAGGCCTCTATGTTCGTTGTCTTCTTTGTGCTAAGTACGCCAGTTAGAGTTATCTTTGTTCATTCGTGTTACCTTTTTGTCCCGCTGTTCTTTTTCTCCTCCTCTACAGATCTCTCCTCTGGACTCTGGATCTTCGCAGTCCTACCAGCCTCTGACTTACAGGTCGATGCACAGTCTCCTTTAACTGTCTATCCATGCTCCTGTCTCCTCAGCCATCATCGCCTCTACCTCGACCAGTCCAGGAGTGATCCCAGCGTCCGCAGCCCAGTCCATTATCATCCACCATACCCTTGACTGTTTTTCTCCTGCTGCAGATCGACATCCGGTTATCACTACCCACATCACTTCTCTAATTATTGCACTGTATCGCACTGTAATAAATATCACTGCTTGCACTGAAGCCAGCTACCTGGGTCCGTCTTCTTTCCGCTCGCTCGTCTCTGTGTTCGAGCTATCCTAACAGATGTAACTAGCCAACATGGACCCTGCTGGCTCTGGTGCAAGTAGCGCATCTGCTCCTGCACATGTTACAGCTCAAATGGACAGAATGGCTCAGGCACTGCAGCAGCAACAACAGGACATCTCCTCTCTAACCCAGCAAGTAGCACAACTCACCTCACTGCTGCTGTCTCAACACAGTCACGCTGCCACCCCAGATCCACACTCAGCTCCCCGTTCTGCCAGTCCCCGCCGTGATCCGCCCATTCCTGAACCATGCTCATAGGCACCACCATCACCGAGTTTCTGGAAGAAATACAGGCCGTTTTTTCACCTCCTTCTCATCAGGGCCAAGCTGCCAGGGAGCTTATGACTATTCGCCAGGGGGCTCGTCGTGTCTTGGACTACTCCTTAGACTTCCGGGTCCCTGCGACGGAGGCCGGCTGGGAGGACTGCGTGTAATGCGCGGCCTTCTGGCATGGCCTCCTGGCACGGCCTCAATGAGAACATCAATGAGATGAGCCCCCTACTCTCCGCTCCCTGGTAGACTTGGCCATCTACATAGACGGGCAGCAGTCGGCCCCCCGGACCCGCGTCACGGCAACCCTACCTGTCGAAGCCCGGGTTCCTCTCCACATAGGGGACTCCCACACCTGCACCTCCCGAAGAGCGGATGAACCCATGGACTTGGGATGTGCCTGTCTAGACCCTGAGGAATGGGCCCGCCGCATCCGCACCAGGTCGTGCC